TCTATCAGGCAGTAGTAATTCATGGATCATTTTACGGTTTTCACTTTGTACCAGAAGCTCACCGATCTTGGCCACGTTTCGAAATCTTGTGGAAAACACACCAATACATAGTTAGTTTTCGAGCAGCATCTGAATATTACGTACATGCCTAAATATGGGAACTGTCCAGATATAAAGCTCGATTCCTATTGCATCCATATCGACGTTACAGAGTGGATTTCTGCCACTTCGCTGGATTTGATCTATATGTAGCGGGAAATACTAAAATTGTCATCCAGCACACTTAATTTTACGTGGCCGATCCATCGTACGCGCATACGCCTTCAATATAGAACCTAGACCGTATGATATGGAAATGCTGATGTGTTGAAGATGGATCGATCCTTCGAAAAGCATTTTACTTTCAGACTGCACATATAACACATCCATCATTACGTTAAGGCATTTATCATGAAGTGGTATTCGGCTCTATTTCAACCATAGAAGAATCGTCATACGTATGTCTCCAATACGTCAACGCAATTTCCACGTCCATTGCCAGTATTTTTCCACAGGATCGGTCACAAATATTGTTTTTTTATAAGTTGTATCATCGTATGTGCTTATTTCGTCGCCGATATCGTTACCAGTGCATTATTATGCCATTAGCGTGTACTACCTTGGTATCTATCGTCATAAGCCTGTTGAGGCCGGATCATCATACTGATGTATGCAAGCCACGTTACATTTGTACTAGATTTCCGCATTTTTGATCGAGTTCATTATTTGTCTTTGCTGACGCGTACATGTTGACAAGTGCATCTAGGCATTTTATGCAGGGTAAATCAATAGACCACCATATTTAATTACATCGACACGTAAAACCTAAAAAAGTAGATGTATATTTACCGGTAGATATCGCTTACAGCAGAAAACTTCATGATTGAGTCGATCAAACCATCGAACTATTTGATTCGAGCGATCATTACTGGTACTGGAATTTAGTTTATACCTGCCTATTTTCCAATGCAAACACGACACCACCATTTAGCCGGTACATGCTCTTTATCTAAACATACACGCCGTATGCTCTATCAAATGCATGGGGGGATCCAAAGGATATCACCTTGTGGCTTCATTCCCGATACACTTTGAAGTCAGTCAGATACTGATAAAGCCGTTTCTTAATCTCATATCCCTGTTGACCGACTGACGCTAATTTGTTGTCGTGCGAGTGACCGTACACGTGTCCCTACATTTATGGGTAAATGCCTGTCTTCTGACATCAATGCATGTCTGCTACCTCTGTCTCCTACAGAGCGATTTTATTGCTCAACAAGTAAGAAATGTTTAAATAATTACGTTAAATTGGGTCCTATAGTTTTGGGAGACGAAGAGAATCTCTGTTGATGTAAGACTTTATCATGGTAAGTATATGAGCTCCGATACAACATTGCTTTCAATAGCGCATCCAGTCGCAGGCTGAATATATGGTATTGACGGGACTATCCGCAAGACCCTGCATGAGCACTGTAACCAGAGCTTACACATGAACCTAATTTGGACGTGAGACGACTCTCAGGTGGCGAGTGTTCGGTGCGTAATCTTGTCCGTCACACATATCCTTTCTGATAAAGAAGCTCGGATGAGCTCCGAACTTAGCTACAAAGGCTTAGAGTCTGTGCAAGCAGGACCAAAGACATACCCAACATCAATGCATGGGGATCAAGAAGCTGAGGCTGTTTGGTTTTACCTTAAAAGGACAAACAAGTTTGACTGAGGCAATTGCTTTTATCGTTTTTCGATGATGTTAAAGCGCTATGGTTTCGTCCAGATCGACAGAATATTTCAGTAGCAATCTTCCTCGACCCCCTGTGCATGTGGATGTCTATCTTTGGCTGCATGTCAATGTTCGTGTTTCAAATCGAAATCAGCGCCTTATAAGTCTTCTATCTCATCCGTATAAACTGTTAGGAACACAATCATCTCATTAGCTATTTGTTTTGAAGTTGTTGATGGTAACGCAAGATGACCTTCCTTTTGGCGTCCAGCTACTGCTGAACGAGCCTTGGAGATCATGTGCTGAAGCATAAATGGAGATCATATTATTTGCAGTAAATATCGGTACCGGCCATAATTACTCGACCCTGCTGTATATAGGCTTCGTACACGACCAAGTATATTCCCTTACTGCGACGATGAGGTTGGCATTGAAGCGGAAGTCTACATTTCGCAATTTTTAGAGGGTATCTGAAGATGTACTTAGGATTGGTGAACCTGCTTCGTTTTGATGAGTCAAGGGCATTAGCAATAAACTATACAGGTTATAATCGACAGATACGAGCCCGTTCAAAAGTATAGAGATCGACGATGGTAAAAATGGACCTTGTTAAGTCGAATTTTCGATGTAGCTATCAAGCGTATGAAGATGACTATAATGTCGGGTCACAAATTTGTCATCATTCTATCCCAATATATATCTTAATGATGCAATAATTATAATAGTAATGTATGTGTAGAAAGACCGAAGAATTGGCAAGATCGATATGATTGTATAGACATTGACTGATGGGTCGGGGAGATCGACCTAAAAATGAATAAAAATATAGACCTCTACACTTCCAATAAAGGAGTTTTGCATGGCATTTGCAGTATAGATGCAAAATTGGAATAATGGTAGTGCAACACCAAATGTCCAATGAATGGAGATCACTCGTCAAACGATCGACTGATCCGCACTATGTTTTTTTGGAATATGAAAACGTACTTTTCTCTATCGAAGACAAATACAGATATTATGGAACGCTTGTGTGACAATGCTTCCACCCGATGATGATGCAGAAGATATATATATAAACGGTGGGTCATGGATCAACCGGAAGTCGACAAAAATTGACGCAATAAAGTCGATTTCGATACCTTGGATATGAAGCTCAGTATTTATCCATATATATCAAATATGCATGTAAATTTGATACTTCTTGTGCCAATAATGGAAGACGATACAAGAGCGTTTGACACATGGCCTAGATACAAGATCGCTTGGGATACATGTCAAAGTTTATAATATTACTTAGTTTAATATCTGCTTCGCGTATATCACGAAAAATAGGAAAGGCATAGTTGCATATCCGATTGTAATTCGGTTGCGCGGAGTGGCACTTGCACGCTTCTGCCCTCGGTGAAAAAGATTTGTGTCTTCGTTTAGAAAAAGCTACACGATTTCGGTGCAAATCTAAACAAACATGTAAATTTCTTGGCCAGGGCTAGCAAGAGCGTTCTCATACAACACCGAACAACAATTAGACGCAGATACTGCTCCTGGCTGACCAAGAGCGACGAAACCGATCTTGCTGACGAGAAAGATCGTAACTCCAATCAGCAGGTTTATGAATAGAATATAAGAAGAAGCCGTAGTTGCGATCACGCAGAAACACGCACCCATAGTTCCATCTAGTTGGATAAGAAGATCGATCTCGATCAATGACCTAGATCGAAAGACCGATATCGAGAATTCAGGATCGCGGCACGGGTAGATTGGGCAGAATACCGTTAAGAGTGGCTATACGACAAGGTCGAGTGAGATTTGGTATATACGGATGCAGATCGACCGATCTCAAGTCGATTCGCTAGTGTTGGGTTGCTGTGTGAAGATTTCTGCCCAACGATCGACCTGGCCAAAACCTATCCCAAAGAAGATTGACAATCTCAAGGCCGTTACGATGAGCTCGTCAATTCACACAAAGGGCCTATGAGGTGATCACAAGATCAAACGGGAGCACGGATCGATATCCTACTCCGTAAATCGGTAAGTCTGGACAATATGAAAGGTCGCCGTTCGCATCAGCAACTTGAGATGATGACTCCTTTACAATCGCGTCATGTTGCTCGTCTCCTTACAGAACGTACTACATGGCGATGTTGGTGAGTCATCCGACGGTCGAGCCCGTGAGTTTGACCCCATCTAATCGGATGTAAGGGAAATGGGCCAGGCAAATCGCGTGGCGCAAAGCTATCCTCTTCTTCTTTCCGCATCTTCATGCTGGATGTATTATCCGCGGTCACCGGATGGACTAAACGTTGCAAATAGGCGTAACAGGGAAACGAAAGCTTGTACTGACAAAGCAAAATACCTACACTGACACAGTGTAGACAGGTGCCCTATATATTGTTTACAATGTATGTGTAGATGATATTAAGGATACTAAATGAGCACGCGTAGTATAAGCAGAAGTGAAGAGCCGTGTTTCATCATTACTCTATTGTAGCTACAATTTTTAGTATAGCTGCCTGTTCACCATCCATTGCGCGCGTGTAGCAGCTAAGGATAAATTAGTTGGTTGATACAATGGCCTATATAAACGATTGAGTGGAACGGTGTCGAAAAATACATTCGAAGCTTTTGTATTGCTGTATTTACTTAGTAAAGTAAATATTGTCGAATAATATCAATTCAGGTAATGTTCGCATTGACCCATTTACTGTGTCAAGGACAGGTAACAAGTTCGCCCCATTACACAGCCACTGTCTTTAGCTATGGGTCCATACGAAAAGGTGTAAACCGGGCTGATGATTGCCTGCAACGAGATAGCTGCCGCGCAAAGGGTTGCGTTACTTGATTGTAAGAGTCGCCTTTACGCGCTACAGCGTGCTTTTTTCGCACTCTACTTCGTAAGTTGCCACTTGAATACTGTCAGCTTTACTTACTTAACCTTCTTAACCTTGCCGCGCTTTCAGGGCCTCCGATCTTGCATCGCGTATCGTATGTAAGCTACCATCCTTACAGGAAAGCTGCAATACATGTCACACCATGCGGTGTGATTTCCGATGCACAATAAATAGTTGTGCAGCACAAGAAAAGTAGCGTGTGAGACAAAACTTGTGGTAGAACTCGAGCGACCCGATTGCTGTCACGAGCTGCGCATGGTACAAGTACCGTATACGACGCATCAGACATTTGCAGTACTGGGATACAGCGGCATCTATAGACTGGACACGTCTCCGTGGAGCCACCTTTGCGCTCAGAACTTATGATCAGTCCAAAGGCAATTGTAGTCGTCCGGGTGCCATATCGATTGTAGTCGCGGGAAATTGCTTGCGTCTCGAAGCACTTGGCAGTTGACGGCTTCAGGAATCCAGATCGCTCGGAGCTCCAGCAGCCTCGGGATGCCCTCAACTGTCGTCACAGGCGTCAGTCCGAGATTCAGTATTTCTAGACGCGTCATGGCAGCCAAGGGGGAGACGTGCTCTACCTTGGTGGCATTCAGCAATAAACGCCGCATTTTTTGCATTCCGGAGAGCAATGCAACGTCCTTGAAATCCACGCGACCAATCAGCGAGAGCTCTTCGAGTTTCGTCAGCTCCAAAAGACACTCGAAACTGGTCTGATGATGCTTGTGACGACGTACAAGCTGCCGTTTTTTGCGATCAAGGAGATCTAGCACTAGCTTTCTTAGATTTACAAGTGCACCCAAAGGTGTGAGATCTTCAAAAAGAACGTCCAGCAGCTCAAGTTGAGTAAGCTGGACGAAATTCTCGAGAGGGAGAAGATCCATAACCTGTGCCGTCGGCGGCAAAGACATAGACAGCCTCGTGAGTACTGGCATTTCGCCCAATGCCGAAATCTGAGTCAAGTCTTCAGCGCACCATTGCTGTAATCGCAAGTGGTGCAATGTTGGCGACAACAAAGTCAGGGGTGTGTACTCCGTGAGCGGTGGCAGCTCCAGTGATCTCAGCTCTGCCTGTTTACTAAGGTGTCGAAGGAATGAACTAGGAACTCGGTGTGCCATGGGAATCCTATGTCCTCTCGTCGAGACCAATGTCGTTTCCCTCGGTTCCACATCTTCTTGCAACACGTCAGTGAGGTCTTCCTGGTAATTATGCTTGTACATTCTTAGCTTTTTCAAATGAGCCAGACAACTTAGCCACTCGTATTTTATAGACGGTGCCGGCAGCACAGGCTCAAGACCGTCGCCAGTTTCGATTCCTCGCTCTCTTGTATCCATCAGCAGTTGCTCCAATGCTTTTAAGGCGCCCAATGGCTGTCGATTGTCCACATACGTCCAGCGAATGTCTAGATATGTGAGGTTAGGCAGATCGTTTGCAAACGCAAGATTCGTAAGTCTTGTGTGCTGCAAGTGCAAGATCTCAAGTTCTTTACACTGTAACGTTAGCGTCAACGGATCCGACGAGGCAAGGCTTGCGGCTTTGAGCGAACGCAACGTCGTCAAATGCTGCAGCACGTTCAAGTCTGACGAAACGTAATTCTTGCTCATATCCAGTGTCTCCAAAAGTGACAGCGTTTGCAGCGCACTAAATTCCACAATTCTTGTCTCGGACACGTCCAGCACTCGCAACTCTGGTAGGGAATTCACAATAGCAAGTGACGTGACGTTCGTGCGGCGAACATTCAGTGACTGCAAATGAGGCAGTACGGCAAGCGGAGCCAAATCCACGACATCCGTGAGGGACAAATCTAACGTTCGTAAGTGCCACATTTCTCGTGGCTGAATGTCCGCGACCACAAGCAAGTCCGATAGCTCGATCTCTGCATCCGCGATATAGAGCTCCTTCAGGGTCGGCAAAAGCTGCAGGACTGCTGCAACGTTGATCACGGGATCGGCTTCCTCCATCATATCATTCACGTGGTCGGGAGTGGAGTCTTCAGGCGTCCAATAAGGGTAGTCCCAAAATCGAAGTGAGTGGAGCGAAGGCAGTACTCGAAGGAGTTGGAGGAGGTGGATGCCTGTGCGTGGAGCCAAAACGTTGGTAATGCAGCCCAGCAGTTCCGAATTCGTGTGGCGTAGAAAGCTGTTTGCATAGTAACTGGCTGTGGGTCGACGGTCATTGGCTGAAGAGCGAGTGGGCAGTGGGGGTGGAGGCACGCGCAGAACGGCTTGGGCCATGACGAAACGACGTAAGTCCGAGCGCGCGAGGGAGCGGTTGCAGGACGAAAGCGACTGCCAATCGCGAAAGCGCAAGAAACTCACGACAAAGCGCAGGACGTCGGCGTTGCCATCCAAGTCGCTCAGAATGACACTCGCCATGGCGCAGGAACTCGGGTCGGGCGTTGTTGAAAGTACTAACGAGTGAACGTGGCTGGCAGGGCGCTCTGGTTGGCTTAGAACGGCGACTTTCAGGCGTTCGGGCAGCTGTTGGCTGTTGTTGGGTATGGTTTGTTTTGTGTTGTGACGAAAGCTTTTCGCAATATGTGGATATTTGTGCGATACCAGCCATCCGGTTGAGGTACCTTTGAGTGGCGGGGAGTGCTATTCACCGTAACCGTAGACAAGAAGCGACGCGTCTCTCATGAAAAAGGTTGTGGGCGCTGTATTGATGACACACCTCGTATTCGACGAGATGTCGCACCTGATCTTCCTCAAGATTGTGGGCGCGTAAGTTGCGGTTCCATATGCTTGACCGTACGCCCGACTCGACCAGCGTTGCACATGGACTTCGCAGAACTCCTTACCAATAGTTTATCCGGTAAATATGAGATCCGACACGTCAGTTCCGTGCGCTCAGCTGCTAATGGTATTAGCCAACCATGTGTATACAAACGAGCTGGTTGCGGTTTTACCGCATGCTCTTCAACACAACGTGTCAAGTCTTTGAGGACAAGATCATCCATTATCTTGCGCACCGGTAAGACTAACATGCGGCGGTCATTACGAGGATCTTCTTGCTGTTCGTGTCCCTCATCGAGCCCAGCAATACTTGATCAGGAGCAATCACTTGATTGTACTTCGTCACGATAGTTTGTATAAGAATGAGTACGCGTTCAGACAACTGCCCGATCGATTCTGTGTTTTGCTCAGCATCGGGCAACCGTCGAAATTGTTTTCGCGACGTAGTTGTATCTGCGGCAATGCATCTTAGCGGATACCATTTGGTGTGACCAAAATGCTGTTGATACTCTACCCACGATGTGTGTGCCGGACGCGTTGTTAATGGGTAAGTTCGTGTCAATGGACGTGTCCATTGCCAGATTCCTGAGGCAACAGCACAGTAAATAACGAGGGCGACAACTGACCGTGAGAGTCAGGCTCATACTGTTGCGTGAGTCCAGACAAAAACACGGCGAGCTGTGCTTATTCTATGGTCCAGTAATAAGTCTCTGACAGCACCAGGCAGATAAGTTTCGTAAATCATCAACCGGTCTCATGTATGTGCGGACAGCTTACATATTTGTGTACAACACTCATTGAACGTCATTTGTTCATCGTTAGCAACCAAGAGCATCTAGTTAAGACATAGAGGGGTTTCATAGACCTATCACATTCGAACGTTCTTTTCATGAAAGGCAATGCGCATCATTCATATTGTTTCGGGCTACGAAGAACACAGCGGCTTACCCTGAAGTTCAGCATATAAACGAAAAGCAGATAAGCGATCGTAGCAGTATTGTCAGATCATCTCATGCCACACTGGCACCGAAGCGCTAACACGACGAACATTGCAACGACGTCCACGTTCTACCCCGAACGTGCGTTAAGCTATGTCGTCTTCGTAGCTTGCAATGAATGGAAGAGTTTCTGACCCAGACGAACAAATTCCGTGCGCCCAGGAAATGAGGTTGCTCGTAGGCAAAAGAATGTACCGGAGAACCTGTCACTATCGCGATTAACTGTAGTGCAAACTGTAATGACGTTTGGCCAGCTTTGTAACGGGCTAAGCCTGTTACATGTGATTGAAACAATATCGCAAACGTACATTGTTATCTCAATTGATAATATTTTGCAATATTGCTTATGCGAGTCAATTGCTACAAAATACACCTTTGGCGGTGATATCCGACACCGCTTCACCATTTGTTAATAAAGGTCATGATGTCAACCGAATGACCATTGGTCAACGCACGTAAGTCTACTTTAAGCTTTTGTGTTTACATCTCCAAAAACAATGCATCGATTTAGAGTACCAGTTAAGATAGTTTGTCGAGTTAGACGACATCTCAAGGGCTCGTCGCATCGTCGACGACACAACTAAAGTTGCATTTGCCCAGTGAATCTACACTGGGCGAGCCAAGTCTTGGCCAATAGGTCTCAAGATCCACGACTCATTTAGCTTTTAGTCATTGAAGGTCTTCAAAATCTGCCTTAGTAGACGTTTAAACCGCCACGAGCCGAGTTAAGGAAGCAATCTAAATTTATGAAATCAGACAGGGTAAAGCGATGGGCATTCGTGCGAACAGCATATTCTATACCTCTCAAGCTGCATTTCTGCCAACTTGATCGAAATAAAACACTGCAATTACTGTGTTTATCAAGGATCTCAATGATGGTTCCGTCAAGACCCACCTATTCCGCTTGAAATTGGAAACATTAGAGCTAGCAATATCACTGGCGGAACAAGAAGTATACAGCTTATGACAAGTTCCAAATAGTTCAACAACCCACCTCCCTTGGAGAATCCTGGATACTGGAGGTCCATGACCTATGACCTTTTGTGATGTGGAGAGCGGTCTATCTCGTTCCCCGTGTACAAATGATTGCAGAAACGCGGTCGCTGTTGATTGAGAGAGTAATACGCATATGAATGAAGTGTTCGAGTGTGGTGCATTTATAGACGCGACCATTCTTCGGTGGACGAGTAGGGCCCGAGACATAATCCGATCCCATTGCAAAGACGCAACTCGGTAACGGATTGAAAATAGGTCGGACCGAGTAGGCTCAGAGCATCTTGCTGATTAAGCGACGTCAATAGAATCTGCATACCTCTTGACGCCGACAATTCGTAACGCACAGTACCTTGAAGAAGTGTCCCCTGGCAATGAAACCCCAACCATCTAAATTATCGAAGTGACGAAAGACCTGTCACTCCCAGTGATACTTGACTGTGCGCGTCAGCTTACTTTGGTTCGACGCTAGTCACAAGAGGACTATAAGCTTACATTTTATCTAGCGCGGGACCCATCAAAGTAGAACCTTTATACGTCTTGCAACGGGCGTGTGGTGACGTGATCTTTAAAATCGAAAGTGTGGATCTTGAGGCCAACGGATTGTAAAAATTGGGACCGCGCATTAAGAAAACGATACCAGATAGAATGGGGATCATGGAGGTGAAGTGACCCTTGGGTGAAATACGTAAATAATTAAGCATTAGATATCAAAACCAGGGTATAGGTTAAACGAAACTGAAAGAAGTCGAGAGCGGTTTCTCATCCAAAAGCCCGGACCCTAGGGGAAAACCTCGGCTCTTCATTGGTTGGCCCGGCCCCTCATCGATAGACTTCGGTTCCGGAATCAATGAGCTCGGTATCTCATCGGTAAAGCACGGTCCATCAATGATAAGTACGCCTAGTAGTCAAAAAAGGAAGTCAGAGCACAAGTCAAGGATAGAGTAAAGTTACAGGATAGGACAGTGTTAATTACCACTCAATTGCGATCTATGTGGAGCGACTTCGTCGTGCCTAAAGGAGCTTATTTAGCCTTCTCGCTTGTTCCGGGGAATGTATAAACCTTTCCCTTTATTGAAGACACTTGCGACAAAAGGCCAAGTGCATATAGAACTACATGCAGTGTTTGGTCTATGAGATCTTCTCGACAAGCATCCCTCGAATATTCGCTATCGGAATCAACCTCTTTAACTCAGCAATCAGGGGGAAAAGTAACGTCCATGTGGTCAATACCTTTGAGATAATCAGCAAAAAGGCCAGGGATGACAAGCTTTCTAAAGGATTTGTTGTAAGTCCACTCTCGAATAAGTCGGTAGAGTGGCTACATACTGGCCTATCTTTGAGGCATATCCACTCGGTCCCCCCATGTCTTCCTTTTTAAGGCTGACCTCTACATTCTTATACCAAGTCTTACAAGGTTATAAACCCTCCAGACGACAGGATCAGATTGTAGGTCAAGTTTCATGCGCTGCATCGAGGCACCCTCTTCCTCTGTCGGCAGTCCGGAATAGTGAGTGGTTAATTGGATGATCACACGGTGTTTGAGCCCACTTTACCACCGGCTCAACCTTAACAGTGAAGAGATACCAAGTCGGAACTACTTCAAGTAAGAAGAGAAACAGTGCGATACTATCATCGTATTAGACCTAGACAAACTACACTCTGTCAGTCGAGGTCTATCATGACGTATAACGTACGAGCCATACTCAAGCCGACATCATCGATCTGTGAAGGTGACTGCTGCTTGTGTATCAGATATTCATTCGATCAACCTCCTTAAGTCACAAAGTGTAAATGCTCTCACAGTGATCGAGATGACCTCACTTGTGATTAGGCTGTTGGTGCGACTGCATAAGACCTCATTATAGCCAGTCACTATGGCTTGATGCAAGCTGCTGGTGGCTATGTCGAAACATGGGCAGTATAAAAGGTCTACCGCTCGTAAATAAGTCGATTGGACTAGGACATGACTGCTTGTTTAGAGGACAGCATCCTCGTAATATGGGTTCAACTGCCCATAAGATCGAACATGTTTATAAACGGTCTACTAAGCAGTCGATATTCAGGACCCAGCTGTGATAGCGCTAAAAGAACTCAAAGACGTCAAAGGATAAGTCCGTACGTAGGTGAGGTTTAACCTTCGAAATAAAATACTGCTGGGTGAATGAGCAACCAAAAGCTTTGATATATGATTAGAAATTTCAGGCTAATACCGATCCATCGAACACCTTGGGTGAAGAAAAATTTAGTGTACGTGCTTACACACAATTGATCTGATAGCGTCTCCAAAAAATCGACCCGAGATATCACCAAATTGCCAACGCTTGCACCAAAACGGTGCTTGCGTTACCTGCGTAGTAACAGCGTCAAGAATATCTAGGGCCCCCTCCGAAAGACGAGTACGAGGTCGGTATTCGGTCGGCATTAGTGCATTCTTAGAACTATTAGGCTCTTCGCATCTCATCTATGGACGAAAGGTCCCCCAATGCAACGTGTCTCGAATTGATCATACACGTCTTAATCATGGGTTCTCTCGGGCCAAATATGCTCTGCAAGGATTCAATTAAATGAATCGATGTTACTCTCAAATCTTAATATTGGAGTAATCTCAGGATAAAGGCACTCGCTTCGGAGCGCATTTAAGTTCGATTCACAGTACTGCGTCCTGAATCAGAGGCCACTGCCTCGCGAAATCACTCTTTAGGATCGACAAGTTCAGTGCCGGTCGCTTAGCAGCGGTCAATGAGTGGAATTAATCTCTCACATAGCTCTACGACCTTTTATGTGCGAACGTTCTCCAGACGGATGGCGAGTAGTGCACGCACTCAACAAGTTTAATACTTTGTCCATCCTGACTCAGACGCCGATACCGAAGGAAATCAGTCATTTTAACTGTATGGAAAAAGGACACTATAGTTATCCATGGGTCTGATCGTTGGATTCCATTATCCCTTGATGTGAACGGTACATCCCGTACGCAGCAGTGATCACCCGCACTGGCATTATATCAAGGTCTAGATCTGAAACTAGGGGTAATCGACGCCCATGTACCATTTATCATATGCGTAATAAGTTTGTTCAGATTGTTGTAAAATTTTAGCCCGATCTCCTTCGACTTGTTCATTCGTAGATGGACTGGGCACGGGAAGTCGGAAGTGGAAGTTCACCGATTTCACGTCCAAAAATGTCTTACACTTATGCGCGATTTTAAGCTGTACACACTTTATTTTCAGGCAGTATCGAATCACAGCTAGCAAAATATTACTTTTTAAGTACATCTTTTGTAAAAATGGCGTGCACTTTGATCCAGAAAAGCTCAAGGCGATAACCCGCGGGCTGGTGACAGTCGAAATTAAGGACTTTGCAAGTTTCTTGTCTTAATAGCGTAAAAGGAAAAGTACTCACGTAATAAGATCGTGATGAACGTTCACGTCTCTCGTCTATTTGAAGTGCTGAGTCCGAACATCTTCGAAGGTATCAAAATGAGCTTTATAAAATTATCAGTCAAGGCGACTTCAGACCAAGATATACTATGCACGTTATATTTGACACCACGATTATGCAATTGGAAGTGAGTTAATTTAATAGGACACAGACGGCGCACATTTTCACCATTCGTGTCAGCTGAAACCAGCTGAGTGTAATTACTTGTCACATGATACCGAACACTTTGTCATGAAATATGCACCTGCTAATTTTTGTATCGATTTTTCGAGGAGATAGACCGCTCATCGTTTATTCGGACTATGCGTCAGTATTCACAGTCGTTAAAAGACCTTGCCTCTTGCACATAATGGCAATTTAGGTATATTCTTCTTGATTTATACATTATCCGTGCAGACGAGACAAGCACGACTGTCGTTCGTAGATGATGCATTTTCGCGCCGGTCTGATTTTGACTCGACAGCGCAGTTCAAAAGTGAGTATAAGCGCTATGTTGCAACGACGAATAGCTGCGACACGCCGTCGCGTCAGCTCAGCGACGAGAGATATTCGTATGCACATGATATGGTACTTGTGCGTTTGATGTACCGCCTTTAGAAATAATCTATTCGAAGTATACCGGGATAAATTATAAGCTTGCGAGCGGCGTATTCATCGTCTTCGAACTAGTGCACATTTAATTACTAAGCGATGTGTCACACAGAAGTAGCCGAGTATAGATGTAGTGTAGTCGTTCCTACTCATGATGATCTGCAATTGCGGATAATGTACGATCGTCACGATGCACCAATAAGTGGACACCGTGGCCGTGAAGAGACTTACCTCGCAAATACATAGAGATTTGATAGCCACGTCATTTCGTGCACAATTCAATTCGTGCTCGCGAGATTTGTAAACGGTTGGAACCTCGTTCAATGTATATAAAGCCTCATTGCAGTTTTTCCGGTTTATGTAGCGTGTTCTATATACTTTTATATAAACTACGTCCCGGCTTTCTCAAAGACGACCGCTAGAATACTGGTATGTTGTGGTTGGAGATGGTATACTGGAGTAATTTATCGTACTGCTATCCCGGATTCGATCAAGCTGATGGCTTTGCTCGCGTCTTTATTGACACCTTTTTTGACTCGATGGATTTCCCTGTGAGGTCGGCTCTGTATCGAGGCCTTCGACCTTTGCGGATTTTTGGTAACTCGCAGTCCATTATATAGAATCGCGGTAGAAAATGTCACAATCTGACCAACCGGGAACAGATGGTCAGACCGAACCGTGTATTGGGTGTCTTAAATAGCTACTTCGATGATACGTCTGCTCGTTTGTAAATTTGCGGAAGCTCTTGCCGATATTCATATCGTCATCAACAATTTGGTCCCATGCGTTAATTACGCTTATGATGTTCTTCTTGACTAGCTTGCGTTAACCACGCTTTTTACCTTGTTAGATTATATCTATTGTACAGGGAAGAGGAAAATACTCGAATGCAGCCCTTTTGACCCCTTTCCATCACACTTTGACGTTATGTAGACGAGGAAGAGACCGATGCCGATGATGAAGGAAGTGAAGAAGACATACCCGTCAATATCAAAGAAGGATGCAATAAAGATGACTCTGGTGACGATGCCGGTATAGCCAGCATCACCGACTACTGAGACAGTGAAGACGACGAAGCCCTGGCTGATGAAGAGATAGCTCTCTCTGCAGTGCGAAATAGGCGAAATGATTAAGATGTAGGCGATTCAACAAGAATATTCCTAATATTACGAGAATCGGTGGTATTTACATTCAATATTTTATCACGGAAGTGGTGGATCGACAAAAACGAAACGCTTTAAGTCATACACGATTTTGCTTATACTCAACAAAATGGTGTTGTCTTACAATCTACGGTAAACGTACCTAGGCACGTAGTGGCTAATGCAGGCAGCAGTAATTTACTACATAAATACATCGGCACATTTCGTGTGTTGCGACGCGCTTACGCATAACGCATGCAAGATTGACCTGCCACACAGTATGCACACGCATCCTACACTTGCGTGGGACTTCTTGTTCGTATTGCCAGTAAGATCCCTCTTTTGATGGCGATGAAGCCACGACATTCAAGAAACTCCAAAAACAATTCTTGCGCTTACCGCCATTCTTCACCCCCACTCCGGCAATTTGCTAAGCATGTCAAGCAGGTTGTCTAGCGCCGCTTCGTGCACAGCCGATTTTCTCACAATTGATGACTGTTGGTCGTGTCTTGATCGTCGACAACCACAGCGGATGTAGCTTCTTGGGTTGCGCACCCAACACGTGCCCGGGCCAGGTAAATGTGATATGTTTTTGAGCGTTAAGGTCCCATGTCAGCACAACAAAACGTATGTTCAACAGCGTTGCGATTCGGCGTGGTCAAATTGTTGGTGGCGTCCATCTAGTACGCCCATCACCTTATGATGGCCCCACGCGGCGTTTGTATCTCCTCGTCCCGCATGTCATGACATCTTACTACTACGACGAGGCGACTTTATCTGCTTGTCCTATCCATCATATTGTCACTGAACAGCCAATCAGATGAGGTCGGAAATTATCTGTTATAGGTTTTGCACCTGAACCTCAGAACTGTCATGACCTGTCAGAAACAATTTCCTCTAACGATCGATACTCCTAGCCGTCTGGCTCACCCCTTCAAATGCGTTCGCGACGACAAGTGACCAAAAATATGGCCACGGGCGATACAGCGAGTGCAAACTTACAAACACACGCATTGAAGATAAGACGATCACTCGTGACGTTTACCCTCGTTTGGTTATGACTGGTAACTCAGTTGATATCTTGCGAATGCGGGCGATAAAGAGCCCACTCGTGTTGTGCGACGGTGTGAATCGTAAAGTGCCTCGAAGTTTGCCTTGCTGCACGAGTGAGACAGCGCAAAAGTTCTTGTCAGCAAACACGCAGTAGGATATCGCACATGCCCAAGGATTTCTACCGTACTTGACAGGGAACATCTTCGCCTCGCGCGATTGGGTCAAGCTTAGCAAGCGTTTCGTCTGCAAGGAACCTTGACACAATGTCTTCATTCTGCTTCGTGGATAAACTGCAGGTACTATAAATCATAGTACCTCCTGGACGCAATAAGTTGAAGCCACTCCGGATGAGGTCATGTTGCAGTGTGAGGATCCGATCTACCTCACTTGAGTTTAAATGGTCGTGCACGTATGTTTCCCACTTGACCGCAGTATTTAGACGCTGTAGATGGCGGATCGAGCCATCGTGCGTGCACTCTGCATCTACCAACACTTTGTCGTAAAGAGCCGGGTCGACCTTCATCACGTGCTGTTGCTTGGCGTCTCGCGCTCGAGCGCTCTTGTTCTTCCGCTTTCGCTTTCGGTCTTTCGGCGCCCTCGCCGCAACCTCGTGTGTATCCAGCAACACCTCCAAACCATTCGTACCGCCACACTCTGTCTTTGGTCCAATGTTAAATACCCTTCCATCTGCATGGAAGAGTCTGCATCTCCACGCGACGTCTGCAGCCTCCACCTCGACTCTAACGAGCTGGTATTTGTGCACTAATCGTCTACAAGCACTCAATCTTGAGCGAGAGTAGTCGACTCCTGTGACACTGCCTTGAAGCCGCAGGAGATCGGCGATCATGGTCAACTTGGCTCCAGGAGCACAACACAGGTCTAGCACGTGCTCTCCTGGCTGGATATCCAACAACGACACTGCATATCCCGAAGAGACGTCGATGCCGTACATTCGTCCGTCTTGGTAGAGACCAACCTGAGATATAGGGACGGATAGTGGTAACGAATAGAAACCAGGGAGCCACTTGACAGCTTGTGGCATGACTCCTTGGCTAGAGTCATTACCACCTTCTGCTGTTTCTCGGGCCAGAACGTAAGCAGCGATCGAATGCAGTAGAGTGTCCACAGAATCCTTTATACCGTCATTGTTGATTCCTGTATGTTTAAGTCTAAGGAAAGCCACAGCCATTATTGACACAGTCGAACGTGAGGTTGACACAATCGATTTCTGGTGATTGATTGGTACGCTAAATGAAGTCGCAACGTTGCTTCGATACCTGACAAAACGTCGCGCTTCTTCTTCATAGCTTGAAGACTCCAACAGGTCGTTCACATCGATGTGGTGCTCGTGTAAGAACCGTAGAAAGCCTGAGGTTTCCCACACGGTCAGGTCGTTCCACCGTGTCGTGTCCGCCATAGCTTTTTGATACCGGTACCGACTCGCTACGATGACTCGGACACCCAAGTCGAAAGTGTACCCATGTACCACAACATCAAGTGGTACACCTTCCTGATATTTCATTGTCGACAAATTTACCTCACACCCCCGTGAATTTGATCCGTAAGTACGTCTGAGGTGTCCGATCCCTAAGTTCGCACGCAAAAGAAGATATGGCAGAAGAAGCAAAGAAGCTCTGGGGCGGCCGTTTCCGCGGCAATGTGGACCCAGTGATGCGCAAGTTCAACGAGTCGCTGTCCGTGGACAAGCGCATGTGGAGCGTCGATCTGGACGGCAGCCAGGCGTACGCGCGCGGCCTCGAGAAGAGCGGCGTCTTGACGACAGACGAGGCCACTGCGATCGTCGCGGGACTGGACAAAGTGCGGCACGAGTGGGCGACGGGCGCGTTTGAGCCCAAAGAAGGGGACGAAGACATCCACACGGCCAACGAACGCCGTCTCACGGAGCTCGTGGGCGCCGTGGGCGGCAAGTTGCACACGGGCCGCAGCCGCAACGACCAAGTGGCTACAGACGTGCGCCTCTACTTGAAGCATACGATTGGTCAAATCGACGAGAGCATGCGCGAGCTCATTGGTACCGCCACCCTATTGGCTGAAACGAACATTGAGCTCCTCATGCCCGGCTTTACCCACCTGCAGCCAGCGCAGCCACTGCGGTTCTCGCAGTGGGTCCTGAGCCACAGTGCAGCACTCCTTCGGGACGCCGAGCGGCTCACGGACCTCACAAAGCGTGTGGATTACATGCCGCTGGGCAATGGCGCGCTGGCTGGCAACTCGTTTGGTCTGGACCGCGAAGCGCTGGCCGAGTCGCTCGGCTTTGCCCACGTGACGCCCAACAGTCTCGACGGCGTCTGTGACCGTGACTTTGTCGCCGAGTTCCTCTTCTGGGCCTCGATGCTCATGGTGCACCTCTCGCAGATGTCAGAGGACCTGATCATCTACAACACGCTCAAGTTTGTGACCATGGCAGATGCCTACAGCACGGGCAGTTCGCTCATGCCGCAGAAGAAGAACCCGGACGCGCTCGAGCTACTGCGCGGTAAGAGCGGCACTGTCATTGGTCGGCTGAGCGGCTTTCTTGTCACGCTCAAAGGCTTGCCCCGCTCGTACAATAAGGACCTGCAGGAGGACAAGACGGCGCTCTTTGACGTGGTGGACACGATCCAGGACTGCTTGCAGATCGCCACGGGTGTGCTGGCTACTATGACCCCGCACGGCGACAAGATGCGCAGCTTTCTCGTGACGGAGATGCTGGCGACGGACTTGGCCGAGTACCTTGTTCGCAAAGGCGTTCCATTCCGTGAGACCCACCACGTTGCCGGGGCAGCCGTGCGACTGGCGGAAGACAAGAACAAGTCCTTGAGCGCCCTCACATTCGAAGAGCTGTTGACGTTGCACCCCAAGTTTGAACAGGACGTTCTAGACGTGTGGGACTTTGACGTCAGCGTCGAGCGCAAAAACGTCACGGGCGGCACGAGCAAGAGCGCTGTGGAGCAGCAAATCGCCAACATCAAGGCGTGGCTCGCTTGAGTTGAGTGCAGCGGGAGGGATCCGCACGCAGCATTACCTGCCGGCTGTTCTCTCGTGGAAGTAGGCGAAAGGAACGTTTCTTTTGTCTGACAATGCAGTCGTACTCCAATCGTTCTCTTCGTTGTCATCCTTTTGTCTGCAACAGATGTGCTCAGTCCATAGCGGTCAAACTACTCGAACCCACGCAATCGATCATTCTCGTCGAGTGACAGCTTCACTGTTTCGATGCAAGCGCAGACCTCCTTCGCTTCTCCACACACGTTGCCTGCAGCATAGCCAAAGACGTGGCCTTGACTTCGCACTCGCTCCTAGTAACCTCTGCACAGCTCACAACAGCCAGAAGTAGGCAGTAGCAGTCAGTAGTAGTCAGCAGGTCAGGGGCTCCATCACAGTCAAACGAAACACCCGCACAAAGCACACGGATACGCACGCTTTCTTGCGGCGCAAGATAAAGTCGATCATCGACCCCACGCGTCGATTCGCACGTCGAATGGTCTGCTCCCCGTCTTTGCGCTTGCGCTTCTGCCACTTTTTCTCGTGGAATCTCTTGCGCGCCAGTGTTTTGAGCGTTCCGTCCTCAGCCAAAATCGTCTGCATGCGGCTGGCCACGCGGCTCGAGTCCTGGCCCGCCTGCACCTTCACCCACATCGAGCGCTGCGGGAACGCGCATGTACGAACCGCCAGCGCGGCCGTCGGCTGGCGAGCAGCATAAGCACGGAGCAGAGTAGCCATCATCTCTCTTTGGGTAAGTGGCTACACACGAACGACCCGTGTCGATGGGAACCGGTACTACTTACCTATTCGGTATCGTACCGATCGCGTACCGGCGACGATACCGCCTATTTTCGAGACCGAAGCATGGCAGACGATCTGGCGGACGTGCCCGAGGCGAGTCTGCGCAATCTGGTGGCGCAAGAGTCGCTGCAGTGGATCTTCGTGGGCGGCAAAGGCGGCGTCGGGAAGACCACAACGTCCTGCTGTCTGGCGATTCAGCTGGCGGCGCAGCGCGAGAAGGTGCTCATTGTGTCTACGGACCCCGCGCACAACCTCAGGTACACGCTCCGACGGTCCTTGTCGCTGGGATTACGATCGTACCTTATTCGATGCCTGTCATCATTTCTGACCCAACGAATGTCGTGTGGCGTGCAACAGTGACGCGTTTGGGCAGAAGTTTACGCGCGACCCGACGCCAGTGAACGGCTTTTCGAATCTCGCGGTGATGGAGATCGACCCAAACGTGGACGTACGCTCGTGGCGTTGTTCGATTCTCTTTCTTCTTTGAAGGACAGGACGATCGCTGTATGCTATGAATGACTAACAGAAAGCACTTTGTATGTGATGCTGTTGCAGCTCGAGGAGATGAATGCCGACGGCGTGCAGGACAACTCGGGCATGGCCTCGTTCATGAAAGACCTGACGAACTCCATTCCTGGCATTGACGAGGCCATGAGCTTTGCCGAACTCATGAAGCAGGTGCAGAATATGGACTACTCGGTCATTGTGTTTGACACGGCCCCTACGGGTCACACGCTGCGTCTGCTGAGCTTCCCCAGGGCGCTCGACAAGGCGTTTGACAAGATTCTGTCGCTGAAGAACCAGTTCTCGGGCATGTTCTCGCAAGTCTCGGCGCTGCTCGGAGGTGCACTACCGTCACAGGAAATGCTGCTGGGCAAGCTGGAGCAGACGCGCGAAGTCATCCAGAAGGTGAACACGCAGTTTAAGGATCCGGAGCGCACGACTTTTGTATGCGTCTGTATCCCAGAGTTCTTGTCGCTTTATGAGACCGAGCGACTCGTGCAGGAGCTGACGAAGTACGAGATCGATGTGCACAACGTCGTGGTCAACCAAGTGCTATACCCGGAGGAGGGCTCGACGTGCAAGAGCTGTAGCGCTCGCCAGAAGATGCAGCAGAAGTACATTGACCAGATCTACGACCTGTATGAGGACTTCCACGTCGTGGAAATGCCTTTGCTGAATGAGGAAGTGCGTGGCGTGCCATCGCTGAAGGCGTTCTCTGAGAACCTCCTCGCGCCGTATGAACCCGATCAGTAGCGACGAGAAATGATACGACGCATAGCTCGGGCTGTGTGCTGCTGGAAAGATACGTCAGCTGATTATTGATCCTACTCATCGCTGCTTGCACTATAGTCTGCCACCAAGCTTGCCACCTGCTGAGCCTGCTTCTTGACTTTGACCCTCTTCGCCTTCTTCGTTGCGGCCGCACTCGTCTTCTTCTTTACAGTCACAGCCACCTTCAGCACTGGCGTCGCTGGTGTCGTGTCCTCCGACAAAGAAGCTGCACCAAGTCGTGTTGACGCACTTTGATCCGTTGCATCGACCACTGGTCGCTTCAGACTGTGCTCCTGCTGCTGCAGCTTCAGTTTCTCGGTAAACACGCGATGAGCTTCGCGTCGGTCGTCTGCCAACTGCCTGTCCCGCTCGTCCTGACTAGCGGTCCCCTTACTGGCGTGTTGCTGCAGTAGTTTGTCCGTGTCGACCTTCGCGTGGCGCTGGTTGATGGCTTTGATCTCGTCCAGCGCGTCGAGAATGTCCATCTCCCGCTTCGAGTCGAGCGTGCGGTTCTCGAGCGCTTTCATCGCGTCCCCCTTCTCCTCCTCGACCCGCTGCGCGACCGCCGCCTCCTGCTCGTCTTCGGTCTCTCTCCAGGGCTCAAAGTTGCGCTGGCAGCCGTGCTCCGAGACGTAGTCGCCGCGCTTCGGGTCCGTCTTGAACGTGATCTCGGACGAGCACGTGATGCATTTGATGTAGAAGCGGTAGATGCGGATGCCGTGGTACGTCTCCTCCAGCACCTCCTCCTTGCGCGAGTTGAACTTCTTGCCGCGGTACATGTACTCGCCGCAGGTGCCGCACTGGATGGAGAACGGCAGCATCATCCGCACTTCCACCTGCTCATTTTTCGGCTTCTTTCGACGCGGAACGAGCGACGGGTCAAAGTCGGGCGGGAAGTACTTGTTCAGGACCTTGCGCTCGCCCATGACAGGCGGAGGTCGAGCGAGTATGACAACTCAGAGGTACTGTGCACGTCAGTGGTCGCAACCGATCGGTCGGTCGACACGACGGAAGCGGATGAGGTGAAAATGGTGTGCAGAATAAATACACTGCACATTACTTGTGTTCCTTTGGCTCTAAAGTATGCGAAAACGAATGTGCTCTCGGCGACTCGAACGATGCACAACATTAGTGCAAAGGCTTTCGTGGGCTATTCTGACGCATGGCATGCGCTGGTGGAGCACGTGAGCTCGGCCTGTTGCGATGGAGCACTGGATCCAACGCCAGGACTCTCTCCTGACCGGTGTGTACCATTTTGTGTCGTCAGCTGGTGCATATGTTGCGTCAGTGCCTCGCGTTGGACACCACCGCAACGCTCGTGTGGACATGCGCTGCTGCAAGACAGCAACCCACAACCGCGTTGTGCACCATCAGGCGCAGAGCTCATGAGGAGCGAACCTGGTCGCCCGGTACAGAGAGACAGTGTTTCCAGCTGTCGCTGTGCTGGCACGTGCGAATCCTTTGTCCACCAAGTTGCTCGCGCTGCAGGCGTAAGACCCAATGGACCAAGCGGGACTAGCGAAGACACTTTCCGTCCGCATCGTCGCGTCACACGCCCTTCTTGCTATGCGGGACTAGTGCTGATGCAGAAGGACTCTGTGCTCGCCGCCTGCCGAAGGAGTTGCACCGGCTGGTGTCCTGGTTTTGTATCGCGAGAGTGGCGGGAGTTCCGGCACGTGCAGTAAGTCTGCTCGAACCCACTGGTTCCATATGCGCCATGTTCCCTTCATGCACACAATTGACAACGCTGCTGAGCCAACCGCTTCCACGCAAAGACCAGTGCCAGGCGTCCATGCAACATGCGACGGTAGGAAGATCCCTTCCATCTGTCTGTCTGCACGGAGCAAGTTTGACGTCCGATGGCTGTTCTATAAGTCGTAGCCACAATCACAATACAGTCGACGGACAGGTGCGTCATGGCAAAAGCTCGAGCGACTGGTCCGCTGCTGTCGATGAGGTCCTCACAAGAGCTCTTCGTGTACCCACACGGGTTCGACGCCCACGGAGCACAATCGGACGATGCGCTGGTCGACATGTCCATCTGTCCTTTCACGCAGCTGTCCGAACCGAATATGCGCTTGCCATCTGATTGGCTGAATTGTCGCTGCGTCGCTCTGACCCTCGGATGGCACAGCTATTCCCCTCCCGCTTTCGCCCCTTCTCGCCGCCAATCATTCGACGGGCAGATCCATATGCTGCGACGAGGAGGAGGGATGAACCGTTTGGCAGCGACACGAACGCGACTTCCGCCGTCCGTCGCCTGACCACACGTTTTCGCGGATCCCTGCAAACCTCTCTATGCACATCAAAGTCCATCAGCACACAAATACCATGCAAATACTTTAGCTCTCGCTATGAGACGTCTACTTTCGTACCCTGTGAAACTACATACATAGCAACAGAAGCATTTGCATCGTCCATCTGATCCAACGGCCTCTCGGAGCCGCTCGACTCGTTTCGCGTCCCACGGCACAGGACTTTCCAACTCGAAACGAACCGCTCAAGAGCTCCTCAAGAGCTCCTCAAGCGCTCCTCAAGAGCCCCTCAAGAGCCCCTCCCCAAGTCCAATGGCCCTCACGCGCGCCTCTGTCGCTGCCGGACGCATGCAGGCGGCCTCCCGCTGCCCCTTCATGCACGCGCTGCCCACCGCGCGCGCCGCCCTCCTGCCCAACATCTCGCAGCTCGCGAAGCTGTGCCCGCACATGTCGTCGGTCATGAGCGCCGCCTCTGCCGGTCGCAGCCGCAACTCGCAGGCGCACGCGACGTCGACCACGTCCCTCGCCGCGCTCCAGCGCATGGCAGCGCTCGAGAAGAAGGTGCCGGCAGGGCCGAGACAGGGACCGGGGAGCAGCAGCCCGAAGTCGTACGCGGCTGCTGTCGCGCGCTTCCCAACGGCCTCGTCGCGTCCCGAGCGCGTGGGCGGCCTGTCCCGCGCGCAGTACAAAGAGGGCTTTGTCCAGACCATTGAGGCGATCAAGCGCGAAGGCCGGTACCGCGTGTTTACGGACCTGGAGCGCAAGCGCGGCCAGTTCCCGCGCGCCACGCACCACGAAGCGCTGGGCCAGACGAAGGAAGTGGTGGCCTGGTGCAGCAACGACTATCTGAGCATGGGCCAACACCCCGCAGTGATTGCGACGATGCACGAGTACCTCATGAAGTCTGGTGCGGGCTCGGGCGGCACGCGCAACATCTCGGGCACGAACCACAACCACGTGTTGCTGGAGCAGGACCTGGCCGACTTGCACCAGCAGGAGGCCGCGCTGCTGTTCACGTCGTGCTACGTGGCGAACGACAGCGTGATCAGCACGCTCACGAAGATCTACCCGGACCTGGTCATGTTCTCGGACAGCCTCAACCACGCGTCGATGATCCAGGGCATTCGAAACAGTGGGGCCAAGAAGTACATTTACAAGCACAATGACATGACGGACCTCGAGGCGAAGCTCCAGATGGCCGACCCGAGCGCTCCGAAACTCATTCTGTTCGAGAGTGTGAACTCGATGGAAGGCACAGTCGCTCCGTTGCACGAGATCTGCGACCTGGCGGACAAGTACGGGGCGATGACGTTTAACGACGAGGTGCACGCGGTGGGTCTGTACGGCGACCGCGGGGCTGGCGTCGCCGAGCGGGACCACTGCTTGGACCGCATTACAATGGTGACGGGTACGCTGGCCAAGGGGTACGGCATCATGGGCGGCTACGTAGCTGGAAACGCAGCGCTGGTGGACGCCATGCGCTCGTGCGCTTCGGGCTTTATCTTTAGCTCGTCGATGCCTCCTATGCTTGCTGCTGGCGCTCGGGCGTCGGTGAATTACCTGAAGGAGAGTCAGGTGGAGCGTGCGACCATGCACGCCCGCTCCCAAGAGCTCAAGAACATGCTGGTGGACGCTGGTTTCCCGCTGCTTCCGAGTGTGAGTCACATCATTCCGCTCATGGTGGGCGATGCTGCGAAGGTGAAGGAGGCTTCGCGCATGCTGCTTGAGAAGCACCGCATCTACGTGCAGCCCATCAACTTTCCGACTGTGCCGCGTGGGGAGGAGCGTCTGCGCTTGACGCCGCTGCCGACCCATACGGACGCTATGGTGGAAGATCTGATGTTGGCGCTGGAAGACGTGTGGACTACACTCGACCTGCCGCGTCATTTCGTGCCGAAGGGCGACTACCTGCCAGTGGTGGAGTGGGCGAACTCGCCAGTGGAGATGGCCGGTGAGTTTGTGGTGGAGGCGGCGCAGGAAGTCGCGTGTGTGGCTTAGGCGCACGAGCGAAGGGCTTTACACTCGTGTGTTGGGAACAATGCACATGTAGCGAAGAGAGTTGGGATGTGAAGTAGAAGGCGAATGAAAGCTGTCGGGTTTTCAGGTTCCGTTGCGTGGCGTTTGTTTGGTCGGTGCGTTGGAAGTGGAGTAGACATTCATTGCCAACGAGTGGACCGGTTCTCCTGCCGAGCAGATGGCTCAGCTGCTGCAGTTGGTTCGGTCTGTGGTGCAACGATGCAAAGCAGAATGGCTGCCGTCTGAAGGATGCCAACAGTCCTTCAGACTGTGGTCATACTATGATTGCTACCATCGTACAGAATAAGCGTACGCGATGAGATGGGGATATTGTGTGCGTGCGTGGACACCCGACGTGGCTCACTGTGGTTGAGCACCAGGCAAATGCAAGTTACCTCCCCAAGGTTTGGGTGACTACTGTGGGGTCACGATGGTCGGATGGCCGGATGATCGCCACGTGGTGATGGTACAACGCAGAATGGATATTGCTCTTGTTTACTGCATACTGTCTAGACAAAAGGACTCATGTGGCATGTGCAGGACGTGTGACTGCAGGCTGATGGGCAAAGCTGTTAGTAAGTAAGTACTTCCTGACCATCAAAGGAAACGTGTACGAAAGTCGATGGTTCTTCCACTCGCTTGGCAGCAGAGAGAGTCTGCACCCGACCCTTTTCTCGCTATCAATCAACCAACTTCGTGTCGTCCGTCGCCTTCGTCTCTTGTTGCACAGGTTCGATCAGACATCGTGTTTCCTCCGCTTCTCTCATCTCTTCGACACATCAGCAAGACGGCCACTAGACGTCTCTGGAAGTCATTTCAATACCCCTCATGTTGTCAGAAGCAGCAGCAATACTAGCGATTTGCGTCACCACACAACAATCACAGCAACATGTTGGAGCTACGTAGTAAACTTCCTTCACAACCCCATCCTTGAAACGTCGACGAACGAGTCTGATTCGATCTCATATTATGCGTTTACGATCCCAGTTTTGGACTCGATCGCTCATGGAAAAAACGGCGAGTGCGAGGGCCTACTCTTTTCTATCCAAACTCAAGGAACATAAACCCCTGTCCAAACTCAAGGAACAACGCTGTCGAATATGTTGCCAGTGTGCTGGTGCCGAGACAATAATTCACTTGTGCCCGAACTTCGTGTGCGAGCTTTCAATTTTGCTCACACGATTACTTCACGCTTCCTTCACGGGCGTGATCGCCATTATGTTCGTACCGAACTTCCAGCATTTGGAAGCTTTCAGGGGCCTCGTAGGCACCTTACGGTAGTGAGTGGGAGGAGGAAATACTCCATTGAAGTGCATCTCAACTCGCACTCGCGTTCGAGACGGCTCGTTCTCTTCGCCGTTCTCTGACGACAAGTCCGTCACTTTCTCGACCAGGCCACGGTGTTCCAGCTGACCCAAAGCAGCGGTGACGACTGCCAGCGACGCGAGGCGAGTTGGCGCGATGTTTGACTTGTCATGGGCTGAGTTGACTGCGTCGAAGAGCTCTGCGATACTGCGGCGTCGACGCAAATCCATGCTTTCAAGCACTAACGCAGCCACGTGGTCGACGCTCACCTCCTGAGGTATCACTGCTGCTACCGTGTCCATTCTTGAGCCGCTGCCTCGTGTCACGTCATAGCTGCAAGTAGTCTCTCGACTCACCTGGTCACTGCCGCTCCATCCTGTCATCGTAGCTGCTGCCGCCGCCATTGTTGCTGGAGACACGTACATGCTGCTGCGCTTGTACTGGCCATCGCGGTGGTACGTCATGCCTTCGTACTCAAATGACAATGTCGAAGATTCCATAGTGTATGCCTTCCGCAGCTGTCCCGTGCTACCATACAGTAGCTCGGAGTAGCTCAGTTTGCCCCGTCTAGAGCGCTGGCCCTTGTGTCCTCCCTTGTGCCACTGCGAGCCTGGATGAGGGGGCAGAGACAAGGGCTCCTGGTCCGCTTCCTCTGGTACATTGCACTTCGCATGTGTCGGATCCCAATGGTTCATTGAGCAGTACCACTTATCGGGCAATGTGGATGACTTGATGTGCTGCGGGAGTTTGCGCCATTTGTTACACTTTTCGCACTGCGCCCACTCCAGCACAGTTTTCTTCATACCAGTGGAGTTGCCATTGCCGCTGTTGTTGTGCCCACGCCCTCCTCGTCCTTTGGCAATATGACTTGCAATAGCGCCTTCTACGTTGTTGTTACTACCGTTGCACGTTTCTTCCGCGGTACTGTCCTCAAGTAAAGCAATGTTTCTTGTCCAAGACGCTGTGGACTTCAAGCCTTTACTTTGCTTCGTCATATTCGACTTGCCGGCATTCGCAAGATCATTGACCAAAGGTATCGGCGTGGTGCCACCGCCCGACATTGGTGGTACAGGCACTGGTGGCACAGGGTCGCTTACCGATATCGACGCTTTTGTTTTCTTGGATGGGCGGTCATCTTTTTTAGCCTGTTTCAGCAAAAACACATTGACCTCCGCAGGGTTAGGAACGCTGCATTTGGCGAGCTCGGGGGCCCATGTGTTCAGATGACAGTACCAGACTGCTGGCAACCGATCAAAATCGATCGACGCTGGGACAATGCGCCACTTTCCACATTGTGTGCTCTCGCATTGAACCCACTTGACCTCGCGGTACTTCTCCTTGAGTTGCTTCGTGATCTTACGCTTTTTCGTTGTCTTGTCCTTGTTTTTCGATCGCGCGTTTTTGTCTTTTTCTTCGTGCACGGTCACGTCAGCAGCAGCAGACCCCCTCATAGACCCTCCTGATCTTTTGTACGGGCCTGACCCGGAGGAAGAGTAGCCACCCACATCGCCCGTACTCGAGGCAGTCGACTTGGAATTCTTCAGTCGATACCGTCTCTTACCTGCTTGAGGAGATGAGCCCACCTTCACTACTTCCTCAGCAACAACACAGGACGCAAATCGTTCGTCCCACGTATTCATGTTGCAATACCAGTGCTTTGGCATCGCATCCAGGTCAAAATTCCTCGGCACTGTCCGCCACTTTTTGCAGCTATCGCACTGCACCCACTTTGCCTCACTTCCTTCGTCATCCTCCTCTTCGCTAGTTTCCGGTTTCACGACGCGTTGCGCTTCTCGTTTTACCTTATTCTTCCTCTTCTTCTTTCCATAAACATATGCCCTGCTCGTTCTTGGAGTTGCATTTGCAGGTGGCGTCGCGGACCCAACGCCACCCTCATCGTCATCGTACTCATCTTCGCTAGGTACATGTTTGAGCACCAGGCTTGCAGGTGCTACGCTTGACGATGGTCGAACGGGTACGCTGCCAAATGGTGACTTCTGGCTCTCAAGCTTCAGTGCATCTTCGGTTGATTGTAGTTGCTCCCGTTTGATAGTGCTGACGGTGGTAGCACCCTCACTGCTGCTTGTTTGCCACTGCTTGTCATGGCTTCCCTTTGGATCTGCTGCGTCCTCTTCTGTCGATGGCTGGGCTACGAATGAGCCTCTTTCACCCGGCGGAACGACAGACGCCTGGGAAGAAGAGACTGATGACTTTGTCGTTGCGGTGACGCCCAATTGGTCGAGCGTCAACGGTCTTTCCCCAGCCGAGCGCTCCTCTTTTTTTATCGTTACACTCGTACCCGGGTCAGCAACACCAAGCGAGTCATCGCCGGAATGCTTCGTCTTTGGCGAAGGGTCGGACATCGAGATATCGGAGTCGTCATCGTCGCTCTGACCCAATGCCTCGTCCAGGCGCTCTTGTATCCGTCTATTGACCGTCGCGGGACTCTCGAAAAGCGCCAACGACGATGTTGGCGAATGAAGTGCCCACGCGGCTGTAGGTTCTGCAGAATGACTGGCGGTCGCATGGTCTGCGCGCCGGCTGGACGTAGCCGGAGGGCTGGCTTTTTCCACACGCTGACTAAATGTCTTGCCGTCCACTTCCAGCGATTCTCTCTTGCTCCGCTTCCGCTTTTTACCACCACGTTCTCCATTTCTGTGGTGGTGTTCGTCATTGCTCTGCGCTCCAACACTCTCTCGTCGCTCCTTTTGCTTGTCCTTCTTTTTCTTCTTCTTTCGCTTCTTTTTGTCGCGCTTTTCTCGCTTCTCCCTCTTCTCTTTGCTTCTCTTTGCACTACTACCACTGATCGCCGACGTTTCCGACATGACCTCATCTGCTTCCTCCGCCTCCCGCGCTCGCAGGTAACGCAAGTGGTTCGACGCGGCATTTCCCACCACCTGTTTGATCTCTCGTCCTCCATTCGCGTCGCCGCGCTTGGCCTCCTTCTCCGCCCCAGCGTGTTTCGGACAGATGATCAACTTGGTCGAGATCTGCCGCACGCAGTTCCGTGGCAGGCAGCGCGCGTGGTACGCCACGGGACACCTCATGCACCGCACTGCTTCTTGCTGCGCGCCCGACTGGTTGCAGCCCGCGCACGTGTGCAGCGGACAGATAAAGTGCGTGTTGATCGCGATTCGGGCCAGCGGGAACTGCGTGATGCACTCCTGATGGTAAAACTTGCCGCACGAGAGCGCGCGGCACTTGCGGACGGGTCTCTTCAGCGACTCCGAGTGCGTCGCGGCCCGTGCGTCGTCCGCCAGCATCTCCACGCCCACTTGTTTGCAGTGGAAGCACGCGTGGGTCTTGGTCTTGCAGCTGGGACAGAGCCAGGCGCCGTCGTGCGCTGCGGCGCCGCTGTCGGGCGGCAGACAGCGGACGTGGAAGGCCGAGATACAGGGGCCGAGACACACCACGAGGTCGTCGCCTTCGTGCTCGCAGACGACGCAAATGTGCTCACTCTGCTGCGTCAGAGCATGAGCGAAACAGAGCAATTGACACGTGAGTGAGTCGGCCGTTCGTCGATGCAAAAGCGATGCGATGAGTCGACTGCTAACAATCTGTCGCAAGTGTCAGCAGCGGTCCCGCACCTTATTCCGGTCGTGGCCCTCGAGCAGATCCGCTGCGAACGACTGCGGCGGCGCCTCGTTGGGGCTGCACGAAGCCGCGAGGACCGACTGCCGCTCGCGGTGGCGGCGCTGGTCTTCTTGCAGCTGCGCGCGCAGTTTCTTGCGGCGCTTCTGGTCCAGCGGGACGCGGATCAACACCGAGTCGGAGCTGGAGCTCGAGCTCGAGCCCGCGCTCGCGTCCGAGTTCATGTGGGGAGATGCAGATGGACGGGCCGAGAGACAGAGGAGCGAATGGAGGAAGCGGCGGCGGCGGCGGAGGAGGAGCTACCGGTCGGCGTTTATCTCTAAGTGGGCGGGTACATTGCATCGAGTCTGAGCAGATAGATGATTGGGTGAAAAGAAAGCACGAGAGCGAATGTGATTGGACGAGAGCTTACCTGCTTTTGTGCCCGTGACAGTCGGCCAAAGAGCCGTGCGAGTGGGGCAGTTTTTCTGTCCGCACCACAGTCCATCAAGTGCTAGAGGGGCAGCGGACGTGGGGGTCACCCATTCGCCCTCGTGTCACCCACTCGCCTCCTTATCACCCAACCCACCCACCCACCCACCCACACATTCACGCACCCATTGCAAGTATCAGGTCGTCCAGAGACAGTCTGCTCTCCCCCTTGTTCAGCAACTCTCCATCCCCTTTTCCTTCTCCTCCTCCTCCTCCTCCTCCTCCTTATTTCCATTCGTACACATATATCAGCCATTCCCCCACCCATTGTCCTGTCCATGTTCAACTGGATCTGGCCGCTCAAGTCCGTCCAGAACCACGTCGTCGTCATCACAGGTGGCGCTACGGGGCTCGGACGGCTCGTGGCGCTCCGCTTCGCGGCCCTGGGCGCCGTCGTCGTGATCTGGGACCTGCACGCCGACTCCGGTCGCCACGTCGTCGCCGAGATCGAAGCTGCGGGCGGCACTGCCCACTTCTACGACGTCGACGTGGCGGACCGCGAGCGCGTGTCGGTCGTCGGCCGTCAGGTGCTGCGCGAGCTCAAAGCTGTGGACATTCTCGTGAACAACGCGGGCGTTGTGGACGGTCGGCCCATCTGTGCGACACGTGACGACGCCATTGCGCGCACGATGGCGGTGAACGCCCTGTCCCATTTCTGGACCATCAAAGCGTTTCTACCAATGATGAGGCAGAGGGGCAGGGGCCATATCGTTGCAGTAGCCAGTGCCGCCGGCATCTTTGGATCCCCTGGGATGGTCGACTATGGCGCGAGTAAGTTCGCCGTCATTGGGCTCATGCTCAGTCTGCGGCAGGAACTCCAGGCCATGGGCTGCTTCAACGTGCACACGACTGTCGTGTGTCCTGGCTTTATCACCACTGGCATGTTCGAGGGCGTGACGGTCCCGTGGTTCACGCGGTGGCTGACGCCCGAGTTCGTAGCGAAGGAACTCGTTGACGCCGTGCGCAGAAACCAGTGGCGCGTCCTCCTGCCGTCTGTCCTGCGTGTCATGGAGCTCGTGGCGACCGTCATGCCCATGTGGTTTATCGACTGGTTCGTCCGCGTCACGAAGACGTCGCAGGCAATGAGGACCTTCAAGCAGACACGCGCACAGGCGCTAAAGCACGAATAGGCACTCTCGAAGGCAAAGCGGGAACGGCAACGATCGTTGGTGGTCAATATGCAGCTGCGTGCGCTTTCCCACGTTTCGTGTACGTCTCGAGCTGGTGACGACTCGGGGTATATATAGTGGTGATAACCGCTAGAAGCTGTGATGTCTGCCACATGCACAGGCCTTACAGCGACTCGACTGTCGCGATGTCAAGTCGACTGCGAGTTGAGTCGACTATTGCTTGACTGACACTACTGCACATGTAACAGTGACTGCTGCTTCGAAGATGACTGGTAAGCATTGCGACAGAAAGATCGAGACGATGATCAAGACATGCTCAATGGTGGAAGCAATTGCACTATCATTGAGCTGGTAGAAGACAAAGCTTGTGCTGTACGGTGTCAGCAGCTTTGCAATCATGTAGCTTGCACCGAAACGACTATGACTGGTGACGAAGGGCATTGGCGAGATCGAGCTTTGATGTGCTACTTCTGCACAACATCCCAGTTCCAGTTAACGGAGACTCGTTCCGCACATACTGTCTGAGCTGCAAAAGTCTCAAATGTGGCCGAGTGGTTTTCGTACTCGGCCCACCACAATGCAATAGCTATTCTTTCCCATGCTCAGGCAAACGCGCTGGGCGATGCGATGCTATTTGCAATCGCCCGAGCCATTTCGTTCGTGTTCCGATTCAAAGCATGATGTATACTTGCTCTTGACAATGCTGTTGCATTGTCACCGTCTTTCGCGAGATCGGCTTGCCTTCTTGACATCGTATAAGCCGATGTCAGCACGATCTTGTGTCCGCGCGTCGCTATCATTGTGGCAGTACGCTTCTGTCGGCTCGATCTTTGCATGTGGTTGTGGAAGCTGCTTACGTCCCGGTACACATGTTGCTTCATTCGCCTCTCTCCGTACACTGGTTTCCGCCCTTCCATACTAGACCTCTTTTGCGACTAGCTCTTGAGCCCTGTCATCTACAGATACGTACGATGGAGAATGAAGAAACGTGTGCAGCACCGATTGCCTCGAGGCCAGCTAAACAACAGTCAGACCAGATAAGCTGGTACACCGTCTTGCTCTAGTTCGTGTACTATTGTCCACATCGTCCAACGCATTATGTTTGCGTCGTCAAAGGTTTGGCCCACACTAGTTCGAGCACCTTTTCAGACGCAGAGGATGTCGTTGCACGTGGTGATGTATGGCAAAGACTTTTGCCCTTCCGAACAAGCCGCCGATACGCCACATACCGAATTATGCTAAGACAGGTTAGCAGATGCCCCCGTAGCCGGTAAACGAATGGATGTTTGGAGCTAAGCCAAAGACAAAGGTCTGCAGCAAACATTGACCACTGTGACATTGCACTGTCAGTATTGTTGTGCGGAGTGGCTTGAACGAAGGATGCGCTTTCGGCAATGCATCACACGGATTTTCCAGTGACGGCCGGCCGCCGATCTGGGCGTTTCGTTCGCCCGCTCTCCATTCATCGTCAACGACGACTCCCTGAAGTCTTTCGGTCAACGCAGTATGATGAGACTCAAGTGCCACTAAACATCCTCTTTACGATGGTATCCGACGTGCTTACGCCGTCTTCTTGACGCTTACACGACAGATTTTGACTGGAATCACTGTTGCTGCCCGCTGCGATAGGGGTTGTGCCGTGAAGCGTATGCCAGCGCGTGCTTTTGTCGACACTTACCGTAAACGGACTTGTCGGGTTACAAAAAAGTGTCTGTTGTGACTGCAACTACACTTTTTACAACGGACGATTTGCAATGTGCGACACATCAGCCGTAGCCCATTTTTCTTCTCTTCGAAAAGCGCCGACATGGAAAGCTTTGCCACTCGTACGTCTAATTGTTCTGCAGCTCTTTGCACACCTGCAGACACGACTTTCGCTTCTTTCTACGTCGATGCTTTGTCCGCACGCTCACTCTGTACAGAAAAAAAACACGCGCCTGTAAACGGCATGACATGCAGCTCGTCCATTCTTACGTTTTGGTTTCTTTGGTACCGCTTTTGCAGCTGATGGAAAGCAGAAACGCGTTCACGAAGAAAGCACTTTCATGGCGCAAGCGGAGAGCGGGACACTGAAAGTGAAGATCCTGCGCCACGATCAAACGCCTGCAGACAATCGGACGTGTGCCACGTCCGTGTTCCCGTTCTCCAATGCCATTGGTACGAGAAACAGCCGACGGGCTGCGGTACAGCCGCCGCACATGTCGAGATCGCCACCGAAGCCGAGACCTAACCGAAAACATGTACCCATCTTCTACGAGCCGCAGTTCCGCCAGCCTATTTGGCGCAGAAGTCGACGACGACGCTCTAACAACGAGTCCGGGACGCCTTCAGCCCCGTCCACGAGTGTGGCAGACATTTCCTTGACCTCACCCACTGAAGTACATGCTCCTGATGATGCGGCTACAGGTGCGCCACACGCATTGCCACAGCTTTTGGACGTGAGACTTCGGTCAGCAAGTAGCAGTGAAGTGCGTCGCGACCTTTCACCGAAAACGAGCCCGTTGGTCGTCCGCAAGGAGACCGATGAAGTGGAAGCAAATGGTGAGCTCGAGCACTTATCTTCTTCGGAGTCAAGTTCACTTTGCCTGAACTCGTGGTCAGAAGGACTGCAAATGATGGGAACGACGGCGACATCTGCAGAACTGCAGAAGGACCCAAATGTTGGGAAAGCGTCTGCACGAGATCATTCTGCGTCATCATCTACCAATCACCACCTGGCGCGAGACGGACCAGTCGCGAGTACACAGCTGCAGCTCTCGGCGTTGTCTTCGACGGATGATCTTGCTGCCGTCGTTACGAAGATACCGTCTTCCAGCATTAATGGATCGACAAAAATACTGGATACGGCCGACTGCGGGACGAACGGGAGACCGGAAGACTCGCGGTCTGAACCGCTTGCGGTATCACAAACAGCAACTGATCCCGTCTCAAGTGCGTCATCGACAAAACACTCGAGAAACAAGGAACAAGGCGGCAAGCATCGTGAGATATGCGGCCCCAACAGCACCTCGCGTTCGGGGTGCAGTGAGGCAACGCACAGCAGTGGAAGCAGATCGATGGTGGCGACTGTAGAGCCGTCATCGAGGCCTCCTACGCTGAACTTGGTTGTAGAAGACAGGACCCAGGTCTCCGAGCTCCCTTTTATCATCGGCGGCAGCGAGGACACTTTGGTGTGCAATTCATTGGACGAATGCGCCAGTGGTATGGCGATTACCCTCGACTCTCCACCGGATGCTCCGCTAGTTTTGCCGTCCCACAACTCACTTGTGGGTGGTAGCATTTCGTCGTTGACGCTTCCGAAAACAGCTCCGAGCCTCGATGGATCAGGATCTCTCTCGAGCGTGACCAGTGACACGAATGAGACCATGAAAGACCTGAACAGTGTGCCGGCGTTACCGGCAAGGACGCATCTTAGCCCGGACGGGCTAGCCACAATGACCAGAGTGAACTGCGAGGTCAGTGATCCGTGCAAACGCAAGGCGTCCCACATTGCGATGGCCGGATTTGGGTCACGTGCTTCTTGTTCCGACGCTACTTACAACACAGTGACTTGCAGCTGCAACGCGACAAGTGGTCTGGGTCCACCACCTAGTGACCCGCCAGCTTTTACGATCGGAAACTCGCTCATGGGAGGAGGTATAGAGCTGCAGCTTGCAGCTTCACCTGTCAACACGCACAACTTCGACTGGAAGCCACAAAGACCTGCATGGCACATCGATGATACTACCAGATCGATAGGCCATCGATGACCGCTTGGCGTGAGCGAGTATTGGCTCCATCTCATGACAGCACGACCTCGTTGAGCAGCTTGGGTCTGACTGCCAGCATTTCACAGCACCTCGGGCCACATGTGGGTAGCAGTGTCATATCTCGACGACACTGTGTCGTAAAATCGCAGCAGTACAACGGGCGACAGAATTGCAGCAGCGCATCGAGTGACCGAATCGAAGTACAATAATGAACAAAGTGTACAACGCCGAGTAAGAAACTGTCTTTGTTCGTGGTCATCATCGAGTACTCATCTACTTAGCATTCACGAAGGCTTGCCACCTTACCGCATCTGTCGCTTCCTAGTCAATGTGCGAGCACGTCCAGAGGTCGTCACCGAGGAAATGCACCATCTCGATAGCCACGCCCTTGTTCGTGTTCCGACTGCAGACACAAAGTCCAAGTTCTCAGTCAGTATCAGTTAACCTCATGCGGATTCATCTCATGTAGCCAAACACCGCACATGTCATCGGTCGACATCGTCAAGATGCCAATCGCCATCGCGTGCTCCTTTCCTTCGGCCATGATAGCCTGCGTGCACGCAAAGACAATGGTCCGACATTAGCTTCTCAGTCAGCGCACAGCTCACAGCTGTTGTTGTGTTTCTCTGCACGCACCACCGGAGTACCAGCCTGTAGCGACTCGGGCATGTCGCCGCCCGCCGATGTGAGGCCCGGGCACATGACGTTCGCTCCCGAGAGCACAAACGGGATAGCGCCCTTGTCTGCGCGCACCTGTTTCATCACGTGCGGCACTGCCCCCGCACCATAACCAGTCAGTCGTCAGACTCCTTCCTGCGTGGAAACGGTAAGCACACGTGCCCTTGTGCAGCAGCTTGAGCGTGGGCATAAACGGTCCGTCGCGCTGGTTGAAAAACACGGGTTCGCCTTCGTGCAGCACGATTTGGATATGGTTGTGACTGTGTCGCGTGTAACATGACGGGTTTGTCAACAGTGTCGTATAGCCGTATGTGATTTGGTATATCAGACAAGCACCAGACCGCACCATTTCGCCACGACCATCGGCGCTTTCTTGGGCATGAGCGTCTCCGAGAACGGCGCCAAGTCCGGATACAGCTCCACTACCTTCGACCGGATGCTGCGCTGCTGTGAGGACTTGATCTTGCTGCTCGTGCTCACGTGCTCGTCGACGCTGAAGCGCTTGAACATGACGAACGGCCTTAGCGAGAAGGGATTTATTTGGCCTTGAGCCAGTGGAGTCCCGCGGTCGTGATTCGAATTCTAGTTACGGTTCGTGGCTCTATTCCTATACGGAGGGATGTGCCTGCGTCGTCGGTCGAGACTGGCCATGTGTATAACCGACTGAAAGTATTCCGGATGGGGAGGACAGCACAGAGCGATGCGGTTCAAGGCACTGGAAATCTGCTTCGTGTTAGCTCAATGCAGTGCTGCGACGCGTGTCGAGCGCCTCCATCAACTGCTGCGTCACACCAGCGAGACACTGGTGCGCGTGGCTCAGCTTCTCTAGTTGCTGCGCTTGTCTTTCCATTGCTCGCGCGATTTCGTCCTGTCGCGGGAACTCTTCTTCTTCTTCTTCTTCTTCTTCTTCTGCGCTGAGCGTCACGGGCAGTGTCAGGTCCGGCAGCGCCTCGAACGCCAAAGGCGGAGCTGCCAGAGCTGACTCGGACCCCACCCGAACTTGCTGCGGTCTGCACGACGCCATACTGTGTGCGTTTGCCGATGCACTGGAAGACTCGGGCACTGTCGCGGGCGGCCCCGCACACCATTCGGACTCGTTGGCTTTCACAGCTCCGACAGTCGACAGCGGATCTGTTTGAGTCAGCGCCACGAGGTCGCGTGGCGGGGACACGACGTCAGGCGGTCCGGCTGTTCTGCCCGTCGTGCGCGCCCTTTCGCTCTCGGGAGCGTGCGCGCAGTCCCCTTCGAGCGCCCGATTGATGTGCTTTCGGGCCGACTGCGGCGCTTCTGCGCTCTGGCCAAAGCACTCGGCCATCATCAGGTGCAGCTGCGCCGCACTGCTCTGCTGCCACTGCTGGCGCAGCCTCATGAGCTGCTCGCTGCACTTGATGGCGTCCACGCGCAGCCCCCCGTCGCGCTTGGCGTTCAGCGTCGACGCCACGACGCTCCAGGCCTCGTGCACCTCTGCGACGGTCTGCGCGTCGTCAAACAGCCCGCGCAGCTGTCGGAAGCGCAGCCGCAGGAGCTCCTGACTCGTCTCGGCGCTCCAGTCGCTGCCTCCAGACAGCAGCGAGCGGTCCGCAGAGAGCGCCGCGTCGTGGGGCGGCTGCGCGTCCATCTCGGGCTGTCCTCTGGGCGTCGCTCGCTGCCTCCAGAGAGCTGTGGGACGCTCGGACTCTTAGTGCCACAGGAATATCCATCGGCCATTTTCGGTTCCGGGAAAAACATTTGTCGGCGGCGAGTGGTGAGTTGTCTGCTTTTTGGCTGCGAGATCCAGTCGCTTGGATTTTATGCGCGCGCGCGCTGACGGCGTATCGACCAATCACGGGCTGACGTCGTCCGCTCCATCCCAGCGAAATATCCCAATCGATCTCTCCGCCACATCGCTTGGGCCATCACTGCGGATTTTTCCACCTCAGCAGCAGTCGCAGTCGGTCGTTTCGACCCAAGAGCTCTTAACGGACGTGAAGCTGTCGCACCCACTCACTCCCTCACTCCCTCACTCACTCGCAGTCGTCCGTCCATTCGGTCCCTTCACTCAGTCCATTGACCCATCCGCCAGTACCACTGCCGCCATCTCGTCCGCCTCGTCCGCCCCGTCATGTGCGACCGCTCGCAGTGGAAACGCGTCGAAGTCGTCGTCCCCGCCGGTCCATTGGGTCTGATCGTCAGCAAGAACGCGACAGGTGAGGGCCACGTCATTGTAGACGGCTTCCGCCCCGTCGGGAGCTCTGCCGAGATCGGAGCTCTCGAGAAACAGGGCGAGATCGGACCCCATTCGCTGCTCTTGGGCGTCAACGACTACGACTTTACCGACGCAGAGGCCTCGTGGAGCTTTGAAAAGGTCCGAGAGATTCTCGTGAGTACGAGTGGTGCAGAGCGCGTCGTGCGCTTTCTGGTGCCGCCGCCGCCGCCTGCCGTGCAATTTGGAGCGGCGACGAATCACGAGGACGGGAAGCGCTTTGCGGACGTGTACACGCTGGGGAAGGAGCTGGGCGCCGGCACGTTTTCCGTGGTCCGCGAAGCGACGCACAAGGCCACGGGCGAGCGCTTTGCGATCAAGTGCATCAAGCGCACGCAGCTATCGGCCGACGATCTGCAAGCGCTGGTGGCAGAAGTGAAGATCCTGAGGGAGATGCAGCACCCGCACATTGTCAAGTTGTACGACGTGTTTCAGGAGGAGAAGTACTTTTTCTTGGTGACCGAGTTCATGCCGGGCGGGGAGCTCTTTGAGCGCATTGTCAAGAAGAACTTCTACTCGGAGCGAGAAGCGCGCGATCTCGTGAAGGTGCTGCTGCAGACCATTGCTTTCTGTCACGATGCGGACGTGGTGCATCGAGATTTGAAGCCGGAGAACCTGCTGCTGAGCAGTGCCGACGACGATGCAGACATCAAGTTGGCAGATTTTGGCTTTGCGAAGAAGGCGGTGATGCAGAACAAAGAAGTGGGGATGTCGACAGCCTGTGGCACACCTGGATACGTCGCCCCTGAGATTCTGATGTCCAAGCCATACGGCAAGGAAGTGGACATTTGGAGCATTGGAGTCATCACGTACATTCTGCTCTGTGGCTACCCACCATTCCACCACGACAATCGAAATGCGCTGTTTCGACTCATCAAAGCTGGACATTTCGAGTTTGACTCGCCATACTGGGACGACGTGTCGACGGAGGCCAAAGATCTCATCAGCAAGATGCTGATTATGACACCCACGGAGCGTTGGACGGCGCGTCAGTTGCTGGAGCATCCTTGGATTGCGGCTGATGCCGTCAAGGACGTGCAGCTCACGACGGCGCTGCAGGAGTTGCGTAAATTCAACGCGCGCAGTAAATTCCGCGCTGCGATTAGCACTGTCAAGGCCACGATTTCTCTGACAAAGGCATTGACGATCTGCGACAGCCCGCACAGTAGCAAGGCCGATGACGAGGAGGACGACAGCGAGATTCCGGTACTCGCTGACGATACTGCAGCTGCTGTGCCGGCACCCGACTCTCCCGAATAGATACACTCGAGCGATCGGGTGTTCTTGTGCGACTCGCAGAGCGGACAGCAAGCCTGTTGCTGTACTTGACCCTTACGTGGAGCAGGTCCGATACATACGACTCCAAGATATGACGATTCCGTCCGTACTGTTTGATTTGGGATACGGTAAGAGAGACACGACCAACAACGTGAGCTCGTGTCGATGGTTGGTGGGTGATAATAAATGTATGAGGCTGAGCGCGCTGCGAGGTGGGGTTTGCTTCACGTTGACGAATGATCTGCGCGTCTATCTACATGTCGGTGAGGTCGAGAGACTATGGCTTTACCAGGACATGAGCGTGGAGTCGTAGCTAGGAACAGAACACTGTATGTCATGCACGAAGCAGACCAACTGTTGTGTTTGTTGTGCCTTTTGGGTGGTGGTCAATCAGCACATACGTGGGTTTGCCTGCGGACGCCATTGATGGCCACCGGCGTCCACATATGCAGTGGAAGGTCCAACAGGTACAATTGGCCGATTGCAGAGGACTTCCGAAGCGTTTGGTCGGAGTTTGCCATGTATTCCTCCTACAGGGGCCAAGACGAGTGCAACTGAAGCAGCCAAATGGCATGTAATGGCTACAACAGATTGTGCTCGTGACGCCATTCATTGACGCTGTGGCGTCTGCAGTTTGTGTGAGAAAAACAACAAGATGCCTAAACCCATCCGATCGAGGAAACCGCATGTGCTGCATGACAGAATGTGCACTAGAAGAAGAAGACGAGTGCGTCGCCTTCATACGCGCCTTCTTTTCTGCGAGCGAACACGTCTCATTGTCGTCATCAATGTCCGACGGCGGACTTGACGGCACGGCAACGCTGTGTCAGTCCGTCAGTAAGAAGCCGTCGAGACGGTTTAGCGTTCATCTGACGCACACTAACGAATGGTTTCGCCTTTTGATGTCGCGATGAGGTACTCGCCATCCTCACTCAGATGTGCAGTGAAGTTCTGCGACAAGAGCTAAAGTTTCATGCGTGAGGTCACTCGGACGTCAAGGAGAGGCCGTCACAAACACATCCCAACGTGCTGTGACGATCGAGTGAGACAACGACGAGTAGAGGCAGCAGAACAGCAGCGATGGCGCGTGATGTACAGGATGACGCGTGTCATCGAACCTCTCGACTGTGTATGTGCCGAGCGTTTCGGCCTCAGATTGTTCGCGTTTCGCTTCAACTGCCATTGAAATCCACAGTGGCTACTCACAATCCATCGGTCGGGCAGTTTGTATCGTAGTTCTTGCCCACCGACACACCAACCCAACATTCGCTACATTCAAGCAACAACGACCCCCCCACCCACCGACAACATCACTGAAAAGCTGTGTCGACCACCTTCGCAGGGCTTCGTAAGTACGAGAACCCGTCACATCTCTTCTTCCCGTACCGATACCGACCGACCGATCGATCGACCGACCGACCGACGCACTCCGCTGACCGCCCGACATGTTCCGCCTCCGCCCCGCGCGGCGTCTCCTGCGTCGGCCGTCGCGATGGACCTCCAGCGTCGCCGTCACTCGCCACGACAGCAACGCGCCCGACCTCTCGATCACACCCGTTGCCGCACAAAAGCTCGCGGAGACCGCCGCGCGTCAACAGACGGACAGCCTCGTGCTGCGTGTGGCGGTGGAAGGCGGCGGCTGCTCGGGCTTCAAGTACGTGCTCGAGCTGGAGGACGGCGCGGCGCTCAGCGAGACGGACGACGTCGTCTTCGAGCAACACGGCGGCCGCGTCGTCGTGGACAGAGAGTCGCTGGAGCTCGTGCGGGGCAGCACTGTGGACTTTGAGCAGGAGCTCATCCGCAGCGCGTTCGTAGTGGTCGACAACCCCAACGCAGTCAGCGGCTGCGGCTGCGGCACGTCGTTCGACCTCAGGGACTAAGCGCCGTCCAAAGGGCACCGTACAAAGCCGTCCGTTTCGTTTCTTCTCTCCTTTCGTCTCTCGCTCCGTTGTGCGAGAGCCTTTTGCCAATGCCACTCACTCCCATAGCACGACGCCGCCGTTCTTGTCACAGGACGCTGCACCTGTGCCGTCCGGACGCCACACGCAACACGCCACTGCTCCGTGATGGCCGTTCGGACCCGACTGGAGCTGCTGCTCGACGGCGCCGGTGCGCGCGTCCCACACAAAGAGGACGCCGGACGCGCCGCCGGCCAAAGCGTAGTGGCCGTCCGGACTGAGCGACGCCTGGCCCCAGTCGAACCCGCACTTGTAGGCGTCGTGCCGCAGCGTCCGAAGGACGCCATAGGTACGCGGATCGACGACGCAGAGCGAGTGGTCGCGCGAGTTCGTGAGCAGCTCAGTGCCGCCAAAGCTCACGGAAGTCGTTTGGTCGCTGTGGAGGCCGTGCAGCTCCTGCACGCAGCGTCGCGTCCGCGTGTCCCAGAACCGGACCGCGCCGTCCTGATGAGCACTGGCGAACTGCACAAACCCCGCAGCCGCTCCGGACCGCGCAGCAATGTCGTTGCAGCTGGACACGCAGCTGACCGTTTGCAGCCGCACTCCTCGCAGCACATCCCACACACGCAGACTGCGATCGGAGGAGCCCGTGAGCACTTCGTGAGGCGACACGGGCGAGAACTCGGCCGCCAGCACCTTGCCCTTGTGGCCCGTCAGCGTCTGCATCACGCGCCCTGTGCCCACTCGCCACACAAAGCACTTGCGGTCGCATCCGGTCCCGAGCACCAGCGCGCCGTCTTCCGACGCGCGCACACACAGCAACGGATGCGCCGTCCCCACGCCCCGATACTCCCCTAGCGCTCTCGGGGTACACGACGCGCCTGCCTCTGCTTCCCACGCTCGCACAGTGCCGTCGCTGCTTCCACTGAAGAGGATCTTGCCGGACGCGTTGAAGCAGACCGAGTTCACCTCTGTCGCATGCGCTCGAATCGCGTGCGTGACGCGGGCGATCAGCTTGGACGTCGGACCCACTCGACTCGAGCCAGCGGTTCCGTCCAGCGAGCGGCTCATGCTCTCCGTCATCTCCTGCGTCGCCGCAGCGTCCAGTGAAGACGCTGTCGGCTCTGCTTTCTCCCCACTCGTGGCCTGAAGCCACTCATGCAGCAGCGCGCTCTTCTCCTGCACCTGCGTCTCGAGCTCCGCGTTCCGCCGCCGCAGCCTCTCCGTCTCCGCCTCACTCGTCTCGAGCAGCTGCCGCTGGCGCACGAGTTCCTCTCTCAGCACCGACAGCGCCGCGTCCAACTCCGCGAGCGCTTTGTCCTTCTCGAGCCCTAACGCCGTCTCGTCGTCCAGTCGCCTCGTCGCGAGCTGCAGCTGCTGCTCCCACTTGTCGCGCTCCTGCCACAACGTTTTGCTCTCCCTCACGAGCGCCAACTGATCGCCCGCGTACGCCGCCAACTGCGCGTTCGCGTCCGCCACGTCGCGCTCCAGTCGCTCGATAGTCGCCAAGTACCTCTGCGCTGCCGCCGCTTCTTGTTCCTGCGCCGAGCGGAGAGGCGTCGACGCGTGCAGCGCAGTAGCAGCAGAAGAGGTCAGCGGTCGGAAGAGCAGCTGCTGGTGCGACGCGATGAGTGCGCTGAAGGCCGCGACCTCGCGGCGGTTGCGCGACTCGACGAGCCGCAGCGCTTCGGAGGCGAACCAGGAGGAAGTCATGATGCGGATACGGCAAGGGGGGGTACGGTGGGGGGTACGGTGGGGGGTACGCACGTCGTTTGTGCTTTTTTAGACGAAAAAAGTGAGTGACGATCGTCGAGTGCGTGTTTGGCGACTAATCAGAGGTATACATCTGATTAGTGAGGCGTGAGATCGCCGCGATGATGGATGATGATGGGCGGGTGAGCGGAATGCCGTGTATACACTTTTTACGAGAAAATTGCTGTATACATCGTATGTTTTGCTGCTTCCACCACACTGCTTGCGATTTCCACGGCAAGTTTCGCTATTTACACTGCACCGCTCGCTATTTACACCACATGTTGTGTGATTTACACCACACTGCTCACAACCCAAAAACGTACAGACGCTGTACACCACTCGGCTCTGTTTCTCCATTCCCTCAACTACTGTAGCTATGTTAGAGCCTTTTTTGGGTTTACAGGCGACAAGGACTGCTCTATAGCAATCGAGAAAGCGACACTTTGCAATCGATTTTCATACCAGGCGAGCCAATATTTAGCTGCCACAGAAACCGGATACAAAAAAGAGAAACAGCAAAATTGATTTCTCTTGATGTAACTGCGTTTCCACTATGCAGACCGCTACGTCCGGTCATCGTAATGGCAACGATCTCGTTCGGCCGTCGCTCCATTTGTATGCCATTCTGTGCAGAATTCATCGTACAGCACTGTTACTATGACTCCACGTACCAAAGTAGTCACAAGTATGGTGATCAAAGAGGCCAGTCAAATATTTGTGACCAAAACAGCACACCCACATGTCGGCAATGCAAACAAATCGATTGGCGCATGGTGCGTTCGATGCATCAATACGAAAAGAGGCGGTAAGCTTGATGGACACCGTTCTTATGGATGGCTGCTCGGAGAAATAGCGTTGCCGTCAATCGATACATTCGAGCTGCGACGGTGTCAACAAGGTAGACGGCTAGGAGGTGTGCCCAGAACAAGTCATACAAAGCAAAACTATGGGTCTGATCAGTGTGCCTATAAGCATCTTCATGGTCCTATGGACTCGACTAAACATTGAAGCGAACACTCTGTGATCGCAGGGAAAGGATAAACGACCGGGTTTTATCCGCGGGCTGGGGTAAGACTACGACAATGTTGCACTTATCAACGACGCAATGCTCTAGCATCAATACATCAGCGACGAAAGCGCCTCGATAGAGGAACATCAATTCTCATCAAGGAGTTACTCTGGCGCGACTGATTCCTTCGACAAATGTTGCCACACAGTACGGCAGTGCGGAAGCAGAGACCATAGTTATGTACTCTGTAGTGGGACGATTCTACGCCAGGTACAAAGACCAATATAGGCAAGGCGAGCTAGCAGCAAACGAAAGATACACACATCTATGTTCCATCTCTGGGTTTTGATCGGGTGCTCGTTTACGATCAGTGTGACCGCTAGTTTTTTTATTGTAGCGATAGCAGCAATTAGCACATCGTTTTCAAGCGTATCTCAAGGCATTTTTCTCCGCGCTGATCCTAAAGTCAATCTCGATAGATATCGATGCAGACTGATATGGGTCGTGCAGTTGCATAAAGCAATGACTGTGCATCGCTCGGCGCGTATTGATACAAAAAAGCGTGCAAAAGCTGTCGGTGGATGTTCACCCGATACTCCACTGCTTTACACATTCTGGAGAGATCAATTGACGCACAATGCGTGACGAAAACTAAAAGATGAGACGAAGCGTCGGCCATCAAAGCAGTATGTGGCTAGTGATTCCAAGCGCTCCTGTAGAGAACCAGGAAACGGCTGAACCTCACAATCCGGCATTATGGTGGATTCTTAGCCGTACTACTGCGAGCATCTTCGCCGCATGCATTTACTGATCACACCTGTAGTCTTCTCCTGGTCCCGAAAGATCCATACCGCAACATTGTAGCAGTGGCAAATAGCTCGTATCTCTCCTCCTACTCGCAGATTTACTCGAGCCCCTTTGTCGTCTCTTTTGTACATGTAAGACTCTCATTCGAGTTAATCAAAGTAGCAAACAAGCGTTTTCATCGACATGCCAGCCTCATATCCCGTAATGAAATAAAGTGTCCTGCGACGAGATGTTGCTGTGTACTTCGCCATGATGCCTCTTCAGCCGGGCTCACACTGTGAGGTCGAGCAATGACACGACTACGACGCTCCCCCTTACCGAAAGAAATACTGCCAGCCTGCACATGGGTGAAGGGGGTACAATTATCATTCATGATGTCAAGAAATGCATCAATGTCATGAGTGAAAATCGAGAATACCTAGCGATGGAGCAAAGTAAATGCGCTTCCGTTCGGATTTCACCATCAAAGACATGCTCTATCACAAAAGAGCGTCTGAAAGTCGCCTCGTCTGATAGGAGCTTACGGATCTTGGATAAACGAGAATCGGCTAGCGCTTGCGTATCCTTTAAAAGATAGTGGGTTCGAGATTGGGTCAAACTCGCCAGTAGAACGGCTGCGTGTTCAATTGGTTGGTAGAGCTACTGGTGGCCAAGCTGTTATCCGATACAAATCTCTCTTTGACACACCATTATACGTTGCCCGCAGTATTGGATAGAAGATACACCCTGAGTTCTTACGTACAGAGTTCATGGCGCACGTGTTTATGCTATCATGCTTGTTGTATGCATAATTAAAGCTTTAGGTAAGTCATCTTCAACTTTTTTACTTTCATCATGTATCATACGACTATGGGTCCACCAAAAAGCCATTCTAACCTAGCATAGATACCGCCTCACAAGGAGTCTTGATTGCGAGGTGGACCTTCGAGGGATGAACTTATAAGCCTACACATATTGACATCATTTGCTTTTTGCGCCCTTCATTTCAGTACAAATCTTCTTCATTCTTCGTACCGGCATGGAGTTCTGCAAAGCATGGAGTGTTTGTCGGATAAAATTGTGCCGCGCCTTTTGTATGGGTCATGCCACTTGCAAGTCGTGAACGCGTTCACGCTTGGTGAACGCATTCTCGAATATGATAGCCGTTTCATTCAATATTGCCGAAACACATTGCATAAGATTGGCGTAACGGAATTCCTGCCAAACAAGATCTTGGAGGTCCAATCGACATTTTGTGGCAAGCTGAAGTACATGGGATAGCTAAGGAAGCTTCTTAGACGCTAGTCGTTCGGAAATTCTAGGTAGAGTAGAAGCCTGCCCCTGGATTTCACCAAGAATGAAATATATTGCTTGGATATAATCCTTTCCCCAAAATAAGTAATTTGGGCCTTTTTTTGCCGAGCATCCTTGTGTAAAGTCAATGTTCCTGTGGGTGATTACACGATATCAATTACAAATGAGGGGTAACCCCTCGGGTACCGTGAGATAAGGACAAGTCTTCATCAGGAGTGACCTCGGTTCTGACGGTAGCATGGCCCAGACTTATGTGCATGAGTTAGATAAGCCGTTTTCGACTACGGATCCAGGTCCCTTCTTTGTCTAGTCAGTGAGTAGCGAAGTGCACCCGGACTGGCGTATACCCCGGACGCCTTGTAGCACTTCAGACTGCCGCTAACATCTCTCTTGCCATGTTGTGTGAACCTCGAATTCAAGACAGTAAAAGAGTGCCCGTATCAGAAGCGGCAATCGATGTCGGCGCGCGTACATAAGACGTAGCCAATTCATCGATACCTCCACTACGCCACCGAGGTTGACTTTCTCCGATGTCGTTTGTACGAGACAATTGGTAATCAAGTGAGCAGCCACCTGATCCACTACCGCCTGCGATGGCGCCTTCTCTTTCCGGTTTAGGTACTTCTGTATCAGTCACTCAGCATGCCTTCTTCAAGTATTGATTGAACCTGTTGCTCTACGATGTTGTATTTGCAGCAACTAAAAAGAAGTAGCGGCTACATCTGAAACGGGGCACACCCTTGCGTGAACTTAACGCAAGGGTTTTGGGTGCCCCGACAGACGTACACGAGGCGAACGAGGAAGCGTAGGATGAGGAAAAAGTAAAACTGTTGTATTAATAAAATTAAGTCTTTTTGCTACTGTCTCTCTGTTTGACTTAACTTAATTATACTAATATAACTGAGTGTATGGTGACGTC